GCCGGAAATTGATTGGCACACCCTCCGATTCAACCATTTTTTTGACATACTTCGGTTTAATAATTAAAAATATAATATAAATACAATCAATTTAATCGGTTCCTGTATTCTGTGTGCATAATTGTATCATTAAATTTATTTATTTTTAATTTTAGATAAAAATAATAATTTTTTAATAAATGTGTCATGCAATCTATTAAATCGAAATGTGTACTAATTGTTGTCTTATTTATTATCATGTAATATAATACTGAATATACATAAGTGATCTTTATATAGGTATAGGTTAAAGGAACTCATATTGAACAAAAAACTTAAAAATTCTAAATCAATCTATTATTACAATAGTAATTCTAAAACCTATAAGAATTTCGAAAGATGAAGAAAATATTAATAATAGGAAATAAGATAGGTTGCTTAACAAAGGATAGTCAGGAGGAGTATGGAAAAAGGAAATTAGTCCCCTAGCAGACATCCCAATACAAATTTGAGTCTCAATGTTGGCATTAAGTGACTTATTAACTAAAAAATCTAGAAACCTTAAATTAATTTACCATAGTAATTCTAAAACCTATTAGTATAAGTGACTCATCAACCACTATTAATGCAACGCAATAAAATATCCAGACCTTAATTAATTGCAGAAGTTCAAAACTTTATCAGCCGCCTTTTTACTTTATTTGATTTGAGGGGAGGGGAGGAGTTTCTCGTAGTTTCTTTTATAATTTTTTTTTATAAAAAGAAATCTTATGAATATTAGGGTGTTCCAAGGGATGTATACATAAATGACCGCCTCTAAATCCCTACTACTATAGGAGGTTTTTATGTTATGATTCAATAATCAACTTTATAAGGAATACAATAGATTAAGGCTTCAAATTTTCAAGGTTAGTTTTACGGCAAAATACCTGACTAATGACCTAAATCATTTGCTTTCGTTAATAATTTTTTTTTTGTCTTATTTGTGTAATCTTTCTAAAATTGTCATTCTAAGAATGAGATAACCTGAATTTGGTCCTAAGGGTAAGAGTGGCTTATGCTCGTATGCTAGTAGAGATGAAAATCATGGACACTCTGCCCGTGTAGTTCCTATTATTGGTCCTAAGGGTGTGTTCCAGCAGTCTGTGGTCTTTGAATGGGAGCCTGTCAGATATGGTAAATGTAGAAACCTGGGGTATGAAAAGAGAAACTATACTGCTAAGGAAAAAAAGGTGTGGATTCCAAAAAAAAACCTGCCAAGGAGCAGGTGGTCAATCAGATAGTTGGCACAAAGTCTTCTGAGGGGATTGATGAATTATGTGGCGGTGAAGTGCAAACTGCTACTAATTCAGCAAATGTGAAGCAGAGTACACTTTCACGTCCTTCTGGAAAACTAATAGTGGAAAGCAACGAGCAAAGTCAACTGCAACTGGAAGTGGGAGCTATGAAGTCAGTGAATTTGCATAGTGAGACTAGTACTAGCACATGGGATAAAGAGATGATGATGCAAAAGGTAGCAGGGGAAGAATCTTTTGTAAGTAAATCTCTCTCGTGATATATCTTTTCTTCATGGAAGATAACTTGAATTTGTTGAAGGAAAAAAAAAAGAAAGAAAGAGAGAGATACAGTACTAATGAAGACGGGAAGAGGATAAATTTCTCAATTTAGAGTTAATTAGGGATAAAATAATCAAAACTGTTAAAAAAATACAAGATTAACAAATAAAAATGTGATAATAATTTTACCTTAAATAAGAGGTTAATATAATATCAAGTAAGGTTAAAATTACGTTATTTTTTAAATTAAAATTAAATATAATTATGATGGTGTAAATATATCAGTTTTTTTTAAAATTCATAAATATATATATATATATAGATAAAGTCTCTTTCAAAAAAGTAGGAATATATTCTTTCCAACACTCGATAGTACATGCGCCTGGACATATTCAACGCAATTCACGTAATGATTTACGGGTTGAAAATTTTTTCGTTCCCCAAAAAATTCATCCTACTTTTCTCGTTTTAAAATTTCATCCGCCCCATCATTTTCCTATTCACTAACCTACTTTTTAGGTTTTTTTTTTTTTAAACATCTGTTTTTGTTTTCCAACTCCTGCTTGATGGAGGGTTTGAATTGAACACTTTGGATTTAAAAGTTCAACTTACTCAAGTTATGGGCTGTCTAATTAATCTTCCAACAAGCAATGATTTGCTGGTGAAGTCCTCTCTCTCTCAAAAAAGAAAGTCATTTGGTTCTAGAAACGATGGTACCAACCTAAGATAAGTTGTGGTTATTGTAACCATATAAAAAGTTAAAGTTATTTTAAGCGTAATTTAATAATTAAAAATTTAAAATTATAAGTTTTAAATTTTAAGTTGAGTAGAGAGATTTAAAGAAAAAAAAATTACATTTATTCATAAAACTTATTATTATTAAATATATAAAAAAAAGTTAAAGTTATTAATTTTTTTTAAAATAATGCTTAAAAATA